TATATGAATTTATATGAATTTGTACAAATTTATATATAAATATTTTAATATATTTTCATGAGAAAACAATTTAAGTAATAATATTATTTGAGTAATGATAAAAGCAAATTTCTTTTTATTATAACTCGATACTAGTAAGAGAAACTGACTCATCCAGTTGTACAACGCAGTTGTGATAATCGCGGGTAATGCACCGGACGCACAAAACAATATGCGAATGATAAACGAGCTTGCCAAAAATTTATCAAGGATATTCAGGTGTCCATCTTTACAATCCTATCTTTGGTACAGACCTCGGATTATTAAATTCCGATTAAAAATTGCATTTCGAAGGACAGTCGATTACTAAGCTACAAATACATATTTGGTTGTATACTCGACCATACAATGCGTGATTCAGCTAGCAGGAAAATATTATGATGTTATTTATGCGAAATTTCTTGAATACCATTTCGCTCATTGCCACTAAACCCTTGTCCTTCTTTCGGACTGACTTATAACTGACTGCTGATAAACTCAAAGTAATTCTCAAACAGTAGTTTATTTAAACAGCGAAATTTTACCTGCGACAATAATATTTTTTTATGATTGTTTGCGCTGTGACATTGACGTAACACGACATACGATTCTGGCTGTTATTCACAATGCTAACCTGCACAGCGATAATGCACGATAACAACATAAAAAATTAAATTAGTGCAGCCGATACGTGAGCATAGATAGATAAACATTAGCCAAAAATGTATATTTTTTTGGCGGTCGATTTGAAAAATGTCGTGGAGAAAGTATTGTTTATTCGATCGTGCGATAAATAGAATTGCAAATATCTTATTTCAACTTCGTTCAGTGAAAGTCGTCAATTGCGATAACATAAAGGATATGACTGCCATTTGTAATTAACACTTTGAAATGCGGAATTAATCAGCTAAATGAGTGTTAGAATAACTCATAAAAAGATGTGTATTATTATGTAATGTATATTATTCGATTGTGTCATTTCAGTATTATATGAGCCCCTTAATTGACAAGTGACATAAGTTCAAAATTAGGAAAAATGCGTTTATTATAGTAGAAAGTATCTATTAATTTAATTTACTTTTATTTTGTTCTTATATTCATAAAAAATAAAAATTAATTTTACATCATAAATAAAGTGACCGTAAAAAAAGCTTAAGTCACTATTCCAGCTTTTTTTATGGTCAATTTACTTATGGTTAAAATTGATTTTTATCTTTTATAAATATAAAAACAAAATAAAAGTAAATTAAATTGACAGATAAAACAAACATTCTTAATACTTCCTACTTCTATAACAAAAATATAGCATTTCTATAGCATTTCTCCTAATTTTAGATTTATGCCACTTGTCAACTAAGGAGCTTATATGTAATTCTTTTAATTGTAAGACTTATTCTTATAAAATTAAAGTTTATAACAACTTTATGTAATTAAAAAATTATATTACGCATGGCATGTTATAATGTGAAACATTTTTAATTTTATTTTCCTGTTCTAAGTTTTTTCATTACAAGATCCTAGATTAGAAATAGAAACTGAAAGACTTCTCAATAAAGTTAAAATACGATTATTTTAGGCCGATTAAAATTACAAGTGTTTAAAGAGCAGTAGCGATCCCTGATACGATACCACACGATGTTGGTATAACAACTAGAAAAAGACAAAGAAAGGTAACAACCAAGGAGAAGTGGTGTATGCGTACGAAGCCAGCATGTAAAATTAGATGATTCTTTCACCTTGCATTTATCATGGAAAAAAACCGATGACATTTGACCATTTCACGTGCGTTTCACGTGCGGCTAAGAGTCAGTCTTCACCTTCTTTCTGAAATATTCTGCGCGTTTAACGTGCTAGGCATCGCTATATCAAAAATAACTTTTGTAACAATTGAAAATAGAGTGAAATTAATACCTTTCGTGTATAATTCTTGTCTGACCAAAATAAAAGGAGCCCGATTCTTACATGGGAGCCACGTCATTGAATAATAACTACTTATAGCAAACGATAATGAACGCGTATGGCTGACAGCAGATCACTATGCTTAGGGAAACGTTACGAAACTACCAGAAAATAATGAATAATGATATGTGACCGAACAACTATCGAATACATCCTATTAAAATGCGCATTAACATCCGAAGTCAGATTGTATGATATAATTACCAATAAATAATTTTTTTAAATTAAAATTTATTACCAATTAACTATTTATTAAAAAATTGTGTAAAAAAAATATTATTAAAAAAGGAATATTTATTTCACAAATATTTACATATGTATAATGGTATTCTTTAATGACACACACACACACACCGTTCAAGCATTTTTTATGTTTGTATATACAATAATAACACACATAAATAGCGTATTATTTTTGACAATATACATGTGTAATTAAGATAATTGATGCATTCGTCCTATCTTAACGTAATCTGCTTTCACGAATCTAAAAGTAGGGAGAACGACGGCCTATCGGAGTTACTTGATGATACCTCAGATCGTCTTTCCGTGACGTCATCTAGTAACGAATCTTCAAGTACTGTCTCGACCAGGATTCTCCGAGTATTTGCGCGACCGCGACAGACGGTGCAACTCGCGATCGGCGAATGTAATTTCTGAGGCGCATTCGCGTCGCGGCATCGCCAATAACGGGAAAAGCCTCTCTTCACGGACAGTATATGACCAACTAAGAAACGAATTGTGTTGTCGTGTAAGGATCCGGTGAACTTTAATCCTTTTTCGAATCAGCAGTAGAAACTTGCCTTACTGGGCACCCCGTCGTTCCCTTTTCGAGAAACTGGTATGTCTTTTTGTCACAATGTCTACTAACTATTGTTGTACTTTTATGCGTGATTAATGATCGAATCGTCATCATTAATCGCGCACAATTGCAATTTTATTTTGACAATTTTTGATATTTCGATCTTAGCGATAAAACCTATTACGTTTATGTGAAATATTTATTATACCTTTGAAATATTTATTTATTAAACCTTATATTTATTATACCTTACTTCGTGTAAATTGTGAGAAACGAACGTGTACGAATGTTTTTAACAGCAATATATTTTCAAATATGTTCCATTTTCTTAGAATTTGTTTTAAATATATTATTGCGAGATCGTCTCGAGTGATTTTTAATTGCTAAAACATATCATTTTCATCAACATTCATTTCATTCATTTATATTTTATTATGTTTATAGTCACGCAACACGTGATATAAGTATGTGATTTGCTAAAAGTGGCTCAACACTAATAACGTGGCTTGATTATTTTAATTATTTATTGTTAACATCCGAGCAATGTCTACTGCTATGCTGGCTGGTCGTTTTGTCGAAAGTAATCTATGAAAAAGTTTTCCATCTCTGGAAAAACACAGTGACCCAGTGACACGTGAAACACGGTTATTTTACCGGTGTAGAACTTTCGTTTTTCTGTTCGTGAAAGTGTGACGTTCGTTGTTTAATTACCAGAATTAATGGAAAAACTTTTCCCTTTTTTTAAAAATTCTCACGACATTAAACTTCACATTCAAACAGACCTATGTAAGCATATATTCAATTACTTATCTTATGACTTATTATTTTCCGCCTGATGCTTCGTGTAATGACGTTTCCGAAGGCAACTATAAGACATTTATATGTTACATCAATCGTCTTATCGATTGCCTGAATTATTGTGGATTATTTACGTGTTTAATGTATCATGTATATTTAACACTAAAACATTACATTACAATGTGTATATGAAATATAATATGCAATTGATATGCACATTTGTGCTTTTTATTTATATACTGTTATATTGAATGGTCACAAAGCTTTGAATATTAGAATTAAACTAAGGAAAACGGTGACTCCAAAATTGCAGTCGAAAAAAATTACTAATTACAAAGTTATACAACATTGAAAATAATTTTTATAAATACAAATTTTATATATTGTGAATAGGTTGAATTTTATATATATATTAGGTGTTGGAATTAATTCGTAGCGTTTTTAATGAAAGAATGTTATTTATTTCACATGAGCATTAAAAAATACATTAATGAAAGTACTTCCCATCACTTGTAAAACGCTACGAATTAATTCCAACACCTAATATATATATATATTTTTTTTTTCTGAGACAATTTCAGATTTTATATTAAAAATCATATACTCAAATGTATATTCAAATGCATATACTTTGAAATTAAACACAGAAATGGATTGATTTACATTTTGACATGAAAGTTAAAAATTAACAAAATGATATTTAACTTAAGGATTGGGTTATTATTGCTCCTTTGATATCTAACAGCAAAGAAGAAATGGTGGGAGAATATCGAGTTTACATTTCTGGTGTCGTGCGTATGCAAAATTTACACGCACGTGCATACGTATCTCATGGGGCTTACCTATTCGCTTAACGGCGACATGACACAGGCGAATGACACAGAGGAAACGTATAGAGGAGACAAAACCGAGAAAGAGAAAGAGAGGGTTTTGAAGAGGTGGAGAGGTGGAGGAAAAGGAGGAGAAGAAAAGGGAGGTAGGGTAGGGTAGGAGCAAACGAAGGTGCACCGTGCGCCGCATGTACAGAGAGAAAACGACGTCTGCGACTCGCGCGTATACGAACCCGCGGAGCCGAGAATCGGCGAACCAAGAACCGAACGACGAACCACTCACCGATTCCAAAGTCCGCCGACAGTCAGGCAGGTTCAGTTGTCTCCGAACCCCCGAACTGTTCGGACGCGTTTTCCAGAATTTTTCGTCCTACATCGCGTTCGCGAACACGTTCTTCGCACGCGATTCGCAATCTTCGACACACGTCACTATTAAAGTACCTCAAGAATTCGATTCGACCGGAGATCGAATCGAATCGATTCGCGAGACAATTCATTCGTCCAACATTACGAGAACGGGGCTAGCCACGGCTGTCAACGTAGGGTTTCCTACCCTCTGCTGCGTCGATAGAACAACCCCTCGCGAGAATCAACCACCTGTCTCTCTGTTCACCGAGACGAAGGGGAACGTGAGATCGTCGCTGATTCGAACGATCGATCTGCTAAGACGTGAGTATTGTGACGAAGAGGATTCACGGGGTTGCTTACGAAGAGGGTGGTTTTTCGCCAACTGTGCTGAACTTTTTGCACCATTACGCGCCACGCGCGCGATTGCTACCAATGAGTTTTAATCGGACGAAAGATAATTCTGTCTCGCGTTTAGAAAGTAAAATGCCAAAGTGGGGGTCGAATCACCGCGATAGGGAACGAGAATACGGATAATGTGCGGAGAATGCGTATCCATTATTAGACGGCCGATATGAATGTGCAAAATCAGGTTACTGAAACATTTCGCAATGGAACCGAACCACGCAACGTGATGATAATGAAAATTATTTCATTTTGTTTAAGTATCACAATGGAAAATTACAAATTGAATTTTCGCAAATCTCAATACAAATATTTTTATGTAAAATACTTTTATATAAAGCTATCTATCATATGTCATTTATTGATGCGATATATATTATCGCTTTTTTAATTCGTCAAAGAAATATAAAAGCAACAAATAAAATACATTTGTATCGTTTTGTAAATCGCAATATAAAGAGAAGTAAAAATAAATTAAATTATGCATATAACACCTTTGTATACATAACTTTTTGTGATTTCTTATTCGTAAGTAATTATTGACGTTAGTGACAAATGGATTTAAAAGATAATGCATGTCACTTTTGTGATCATTTATTTTATATTTTATTTCTTACAAGCGTGAAAATAATATTTTCTGAAAAATATCATGCATGTTATAAGATTAAAAAGGATCTGATCGATCTGCAATAAGAAATTCGTACGTAGTTTTATATCTTGGACGGTTTATATGCACGTCCGATCGCTACAAGCAATCGCGATATTTAGACGCGTTTCAATGATGTGGAGCTATGATTGCTCCAAGATATAACACACACTCGATACTAAAGAACGTAGCTGTTGCGCTTATTCTGCGCGATTGTTTCGGAGTAGACTTTTGATAACGAATAGATAAACCTTCTTCGTTTTACGATCATTTATATCGAATTGCAATTTAGATCGTGTTGCTTTTAACTCCATGATGCATAGGATCGTTACATCCTCAAGATTCTATAAGAGAGTTATTGCATTTACATTGTTATATTTATAATAATCATAAATGAAACACATTAAATATTAATTTTATAATTAAAATAAAGATATGTATATATTTTTTAAACGCGATATAGTACTCTGCGTAAAAAAATATATTTGCAAATTTGTAAAAAAAAATTATTTAATTTCTTTGAGATATTTTATTAATTATGGAATTTTGATTTAATATGTGAAAATCTTAATGCATATCTAGTAAAAAAGAAGATAACTAATGTTTCTTGTTAAGATAACTAAAATTTCGCGTTGTAATATATATTTATAAATGTAAATGCTTTCACTTTAGTATCACGTATAGGTATATCTATAGAGAGTTGCACGTGACTTGTAGATGATCGCTTGGTTGCATATTTGGTATGTGTTAAATCAAAATATATATATGTTATATTATAAGATATCAAACAAAATATCTGTTGATGCGTCTGATTAGATATTTTATTATGTTATAATTGTTGTTAATAAAATCGATTATGACAGATCTATAATTATAAACACTAGAAATTCTATACTGAAGATGAATTACAGAAAGTGTTGTTACCTAACTAATTTCACTTTTGCATATCGTTATAAGATTTGATTTGCCAGCGATTTTATTTGGATGCGGTAGAAGAAAAAGCTCTCGTGATTTTTATCTTTCTATAGAAATGTATGATTACGCTGACGTGTGACACATTATACAGAAACATATCAGCAAGGATTCAATAAAAGTGTTATAGGCTTAATTTATTGCTCGTAATATGATGCTTTTCCTAATACAGTAATTTCATATTTGCTAAGCGAAAGTTTTTCTGATAGAATTAAAATATAAGAATTGAAGAATTTCAATATTCAAAACTCGACGTTACAAATGTGAAAGGACTGTCTACTTTATTATTATCTTTCGCAATGCACTCAAGAGAAAATATTAAATTAACGACTTCGTAAATAAAACATAATATTGCATTTTTCACATAAACAATTTTCATTAAATAGCCACTTTATATATTTATAATTATTGATCTTGCGATAAAAAAAGATATGTAGTATTCACTTGTGTATACTAAAAGAAAGGCCAACCTAACACACTCTATACTCTATAATAAATTACTTCTATTAATATCACACGGCTATGTCTGCATAATATTGAGTGACGAGGCGACTGAATAATGACTAATTAAACCCGCGATAAGAATAATGAAATATTTCAAGAGCCACTGGGGAGACATGCTCTATGATGCGCGGTAATGTAACGAGACAGAATAAAGTTAGGAGAACATCTAATGATCGCTTAATATAAAACACGATCTTTTATTAGGTGTTGGAATTAATTCGTAGCGTTTTTTAATGAAAGAATGTTATTTATTTCACATGAGCATTAAAAAATACATTAATGAAAGTACTTCCCATCACTTGTAAAACGCTACGAATTAATTCCAACACCTAATACAATATGTCAGAAATGTGTATATAATCGCACATGTGTATGTATGTTGGTCTTCCTGTTTTTAAGCGAGCATTCCTTTAAAATCTAAAGATTTTGAGCATACTCGATATGCAACATTCACAAACGTAAAATGAGTTAATTTCTTCTCGACGTATCGTACATAGTTTGAGTAGTCTTTTCTTTATCTCTTCTCTTTTCGTTCATACACTTCAAGTAAATTACGGAAAATATGTAACAAAATCTTTTACACGGTGGTATGTTCAAAAGGTATGAGGGAGTTGACGGAAGATTGTTAAGACATTTATGACCGCCAAGTGCGACATAAAATTGCGCTGTGTATGCTTAAAAACATCGTAGTTAAGAAACAGAGATAACATTATATTTTTCGGTTTATTTGACATGCTGTATAAGTTCACCGAAATTTAAAACTATGTTTGTGTATGCAGTTATTGTAATAAATGGATGTCAGCTGAAATTCATTCTTTGCACTTAGAATCTAAAAACAATGCAAATAACCTTAACTGGTACCAATTTATAGCTACAGAGAATTTTAATAAATTATATAACGCAAGATTTTTTAGATTAAATAACGGATATTAATATTATGGGCTCTTTAATATATTGTATATATATATATGTAATTAATATATATATTAATATATTATATATTAATATATATATGTAAGCAATTATATAATTAATTATTTTTATTAAGTAATGATACAATTTTATCGTGCAATGATGGGCATTTGAAAGCACTATTTATCTTATGAATAAGTCACATCGATTCATTATATTTTAATTCGTTGACAGGGATCTTTTGATCGTATTACACAAATATGATAGAATATAATAGGTGTATTTTTATACTATTAGTATTAATCTTTTACAGATCACACTCAAGTACGTTGGACTACTCATAGAAATTAATTCTTAATTAAATTAAAAAGTGTTATGTATAAGAGAGGTTGTATATGAAAATTATTGATTAAAATTTTATGATATAGTCGAGGATATATAGTAATTTAAATTAGGTATATAACGAGCTAAAAATTCAAGATTAAATTTAGACATAAATTCATGGAAAAGTCTTTCACATACATAATATGATTTATGGAAAGAAAATTTAACCTCATACTTAATCTCATTTGTCAGCATATATCGATAATCGATACTTGATATTTTAAGTACATATGCATTAGTAAATAGTAGGCACACAAATCTCGCGTAATGGTTACGACGTTTACAGTTAGTTTTACATATTTCTTGCAGGAGTGCTAATAACGACAGTTATTTTCCTCCAGGCACGATCGAGTGTAAGATCAACCATCGGCCGGTGCATAATGAATTAAAGATTTTTTTTTATCGAGAATCCTTGTGTGATCTATTATGTCCTTCAACTATGAAGATTACACATCCGCACAGGCACACCTTACCTGATAATTCGTTGTGAAACGGTTGTAACATTCACGAGCCAATCGTTTCGCGGACTTTCTAAACCATAATGAATATATAGTATCCCTCCGGCCACGTGCATACGTTTGTCTCGCACGTCTCAATCAATGTACAACGAATAGATGCAGGTGCAATAAAGTATAGGAGTGGGTAAAATACAAGCAATTTAGCGTCGATAACAATACATCGATAGGATTATCGATAGTGCGTATTCGTATAAAATTTTATATATGTATCACCAATTATTCAGTTAGGTTTCACTCGCGTTAAATTTTTATTGGAGATTATTTTAGGACAGTCTAAATTTCAATTGAAAGAGGCGTTGAGACGATCTAATCTCATTGTACGTAGAATGAGTTGCATATAAATAGAATTGCTATATTTAATTTGCGATTGTACGTGCAGATAAGGCGGAATTAATCAGGATAAAAACGCGAGTATGAAAATTAATTTTGTAGAAAAACGAGTGGGATCTATCGCGTGTTCTGCGCCTGTTCTACGTTGTGCGCGAAGACGTACGTTGGACATTATGATACGAATATAATTACGATCCGCATGGTTGAAAATCGTTCATATATTATATATTTCCGTATTATTCCACCTATTATTATTCCGCGATTCGCTGCGTTTAGTTACATTGCGTGATAACACGGCAGTATTGTAATGTAAAAGCGACGTGAAGCATCTTTACAAGATTAAGCAGATATTAGTCTGATACAGTACAGTCTTTCTGTGAAAGACAAAATGCTGTTCGAAATCGCTGAAGTAAGTCGAGCGAATGCCGCCGAGAAAGCTAAATTCAATGGAGCGTCATTTGTAATCAATATTAGCCTAATTTAACAGGCAGAACAATGCGCTGACGCTGACCAATGATCCATACGTATGTACGTCAACGCATGCATACGCAGCTGTCTTGCATGTGTATAAATAATGCGTAATCCTTCCGCGACTGAACGTGATATACAAACGCGAGCATTTAGTAACACATAATATATTGTGAACGTACAAA